TGACAATGATTTATTGTTTAAAATATTTAAGCTCAAGTACAAATCAAACAGTTCAAAATAAATGCTGGTGGAAAAGACGTTTCATCTTACGGGTTTAACTCGCATTCATTCCAACCATCAACCTATATGGATTTTGCCGTCTCGATACTTTGTTCTTGTCTTAACAAAAATGCAATGATGGAAAAAAAAAACAATGAAAATAAATTCCTCTTTTACCCAGTGAGCAGCTCATCTACTCAGATTAACTACGACTGGAGCAGCAGAGAGGAAGGCCATCACCATTTCTTTTATTGACACTGAAAGCTTTTATTCAGGAGCCAAGGACCGTTTCTGACAGACTGCGTCATTCCTCTGAGACTGTTCTTCTAAAAAAAAAAAAACTTTGAACGTTTCCACACAAGGCAAAGCAGAGATATGAAATAGAGGGAAGAGGAAGACGTCTACTGTATGAAAACACTCTGTCATATGTAACAGGGACACTTCCAGTAATGACACACGTCTACCATCCTAAAATGACATTGAAGGTGGTTCACACAAGCTGCTGTGGTCAAGAAATGTCTTTATTAAAGTAGCCAAAAATTTAAAGTTGATGTGAATTTTCACTGGCTCTAAAAAGCTTCAYGAGTCTCCTCCCTCTGCCTTCAGGAGAGCGGCTCAATCTACCTCCAGTTCACCTGCTCCACCATGCTCCAGCTCGAGGTGATCTTCGAAGTGCTCGAGGAATACGACTGGACGGCGTTCTCCGTCGTGACCACCCGCCACCACGGCTACGAGGACTTCCTGGCCATGGTGGAGGGCATGACGGACGGCTCGTTCATCGGCTGGGAGAAGAAGAGCGTGGTGGTTCTCAATGTGACGGACGACCCCGGCGGGGCACGGACCAAACGGCTGCTCAAAGACAACGAAGCCCAGGTGAGGGGTTGGAAACACAAATGTCAGTTTTGATTACTCTGTAATTCAAGGTGGGTTCTCACTGTGTACACAAGTTAAAGCCTAGAATGATTCATCCAAGGTAAAGTCAGCTGCAGAAATTAGATCTTTCAGCTCCTGCCAGTTATCTGAATCAGCTTACACCATCCTCCTGCAGTTTGTAACATACATTATAGAAGTTATAAATACTATAAATATACTATCCCATTTTGAAGACTGTTGTGTGGGGTTGAGAATAATTCTTTATGATTTGTGTGCCTCATGATATTGTAAGATGAAAACAGTATCTGCTCAGAGAACACAACCAACAAACTAAAACCAACAACAGCTGATCATTTGGGGACTTGTAACTTAACTCACAGGAAATCTTCTTGCTTTATTGTTGTCTAYAGATGCTAATAATTGCACAGCAGTGGTGTGCACGAGCCCGCTAAAGTGCAAATCCACTAATTGCAGACCTAAATATTTCGTTTGCGCTTTAGCGGTCTTACAAATTTTTATAATTCATAAGCTGATTTGTGCTTTCTAAAATTAAAATGCAGTACCGCTAATAACTAATTATCTACCAGTCATCATTATCTTGAACAGCAGAAGGTATGGCTGTCAATGAATCACAACACACATGATCTATCCAACAGCACCCCTCCCAGATAAACACACTTTTTGGAAAGGTATATACATCCTTGCTGACTGTTGTTTTCGGTTAAGGTTCTAATTTCCCACAATGCTTTGTGTCTGCTTCCGTAGCAGGAAGGCAATAGAAAAAAAAAAGCAGTTAACGTTTGTAATCCTTACTAAAATTGTGTATGTATTGATTTATTTTACTTTACAATCGGTTTAGCTTCAATAAACCTTAAAACATGGATTTACTGAAATTCCTTCTCAACTTTGACAGAAAGGACAGTTTATATGAAAACTGTTAAACATGAAAGCAAAACCTGAGCAAAGTCCAGTCAAATTTATGAGAAAAAGGAAAATGAACATCTTGGATGACCTTATCCCTGGTATTTTCTTTTTTYCCCTTCATCCCTTCATCTACCCTCACATCTTTAAAGAGGTCCTTTTTATACTTTGCTGATGTGACTCATATTTATTCATCTTTTGTCTGTTGTCTCTGAAAATGACCTTTGTTAAAATTAAGTCTGTAAGAGGGGGAAAACACGCAAAAAGAAAGGGCAAAAAGATCAGTGGGGACATGGTGTACAGTAATGAAAAGCCATGCACCTAATGAGGTTTAAATGTCCATTTGTTGTGTATTTTTTAAATGGAACTCTGAAGTACAAAATAAAATAAAATTAAATATGTCTTTAAACTTATTTTTAAAATAATTGTCTTTTCTCTCAGGATTTTTATAACTGACATCTGATGGAGAGGTGAGGCAGACAGTTTCTSACTAAATAAATGCTGCGGCTGCTGAACTATTCTTAACATGCCCCTCATTCAACTGTCCATTTCCACACCAGCAACTAAATAAAATTGGCTGTGATGGATGGCTCAAGGTTTTAGAGACTCTCCAAGCACATTTCTTTTTCTGAAAATTTGCCCTTTAGGTTTTGTTTTTCCAGCTCCTTGTTTCGGCATCATATAATATAAATATAAATCTGTTCATTTTAACAATAATAAACATATGCATGTCATTACAGGAAAAACAAAGAAATGTAAGCAAAACCTGCATTTAATGTAATGTTTTTGTTTCACGACTGTACATTTAGCTTCTAATCTTCCTCACTCTAAAAGTGTGAATAATTTGTTGTTTAACCTTAATTAATTAATTTGAATCCTGCAGAATTACTCTGCACAAATAAACAAAATATAAAGAGTGAAATAGCTGCGAAGTAGWAGTGAGCCAAAAAAAGTGTCTCAAACTGTTTTTAACTGGCTTCTAATGTTTAAAGAGACTTCACCAAATTCCTCACTTTTACGTATTTATGTTATTTTGTTTCTTTTTTCCATTTTTTTTCTAATACCTTGTTTGGTGAAGTCGCACAGCAACTTCTGCACAAAACCTCTAATGATGCTCCACTCTGTGATCATTTTGCTGCTGTGTTATTGTGCAGCTTTAGTGCTGAATGGGACTGATGTATTC